TTTTTTTTTTTTTTTTTTTTTTTTTTTCCATTGTTACGATGCTTAACAACATATTTAGATATACAAACTTTTTTGAAGAATGACAAGAATTCAACTTCTCAGGATTGGGAAAAATGTGACTCACCACCAAAATCAGGAGATTTGGAACAATGAACAATTTGTGAATGTTTTATACATTTAGTCCAAATTAGTGTGAACAGGCCTTAAAACCGAAGCAGTTTTGCAGATCCTACCGTTGTCATGGTAGTGTCGTCCTTTCTGGGAGTAAGCTCCTGAAAGATGCGAAGGCTATAGAAGCCAACCACAGATGAGACCAACAGATAACTGTTCAACAGTTAAGACTAACACCGTTGTTTCAGTCAAAACATTCACTAACATTTCCCTCTAGAACACACTCGCAACAATCATAAGCAAACAACTTTGAGTCCCTTCACTAAACACACACAATCTGTGATCAAACACTAGACTGGAGCTTATGCAGCATTAGTGTATCACACACAGCAAAGGATACAACATGAGAATGATTTCAATAACCGCCTGGGCAACTCCAAATGTGGATAAGGAGGCATTGCCAATATCTCTTTCCTGCAGAAACAAATAGTGAAAGTTACAGTCAATGGTTATTTTCATAAACTGATTTTTTTCCCCCAAATAAAATTTGGCTTCAAAATATGATCATTTTTTGCATGTCTCTCAAAGGCACCGGTTGAGGTTCTGGACTGTGGCAATACTCTTACATGGAGTAAGTGCATGCAGTGGACGTGTTTTAGCGACGTGCCCAATGCAAAGGCTCCTGTTACAACCGAAGCGGTGTAATCTAAATAAGACTACAGTGTTGACACCTCAGTGCTTCAGGCAGTGAGAGCAGAAAAAAGCGGCACAAATATTTGGAGCTGTTCTGAGTGAACGCTATTATGAAGAAATAAAACACATAAAGCTCAGATTAGTGAAGTTTCCCCTCTCACCAATGAGGACAGACAGAGTGAAATTGGCGAAGTAATGAATGGAAGCAGATGAAAGAAATCTTTTTAAATTCACCGCCGCTCACACACACATAATATGTGAGCAGGTGTTCAAACAAAAAAGAAAAAGAAAAAAAAAAAGGCAATGGTGCTCTTACAGTAAGAGGCTGCTCAGAATGAATGGCTGCCAAAAATTAAGAGAAAAATGTGGAAAAAAAAACCAACAAAACAAATGCGCTGGCAAACAACGTTTTTCAATCTCAGGCCTTTAATATCTTTTGAAGTCACTGATGTGATCTGAATGTTTGGATTGGAATTTTTACAATAAAAGCCAACATTTATTTGACAATTTATCAAAGTAAAACAACATTAGTCTGGCCTTGACAAGTAAAAACAATAAATGAAAAATAAAAATCAATCATCACTCTCATTCTAACGATGTGTATTTGACAGTAGACCAATTCAAAATCAATAGAGCATATAAAAATATTTATGATGATCTTTCTAACTGGATTAGATCAAATCTGAACCAGATTTTATAATGTCAGTCTTGCTTCTTGTTATTGATGACAGGCCTGAAGAAAGTTTACATGTGATTGAAAACCAGAGGAGCTCAACTTAAACACCTGCTTGTAAAATATCATCAAACAGTCAAACTGTTATATAAGTGAACCATCCAAAAAAGTTAGCTAGAAGTTGACGCTGTAGTGCAGTGGGAAAAGAACTAGCAATGTGAACAAACATAAAACCGCAACCCATTCAACCCAAGAATTATATTATTGTATATATGTGTACAAAACATTGATCATATATGTGCAGTTTCACTCCACATCCATCCTTGACTGTCATTTAACTTATCATAAACTGACTGATACTATTGAACTGGACAGGTATCTCAAATCTCCTTTTTTGCTCGGAGCTGTGTGAGGTGTTTGTTGGCGCTGAGTTTAAGGATATCGGTGTGTGTACCTTCCTTCAGGTGTGTCCTAACTACACTACATGTTTTGATGTGTCTCAGCTACCTCTGATGAAGGATAATAACAGAAAAAAAGTACCAAAAAACTAATCATGGATAAGACAGGCCTTTTTTCATTCTCTCTTTTTTTTAGAAAGATATTTACCTACAGGTTAAGTGTCATCTGTTGACTCTTGTCAAAGGTTCAGAGGTCAAAAAGAGAAATACGATCTCTCTCGCTTTCCCTCTCATCTCGTTTCTCATTCCATCACTCCTTCTGCTCCATATGACACGTGAGATACGGGTTCAGATGAGGAACGGACATTAATGAGGCTGTTTTTAGCATCGACAATAATTCTGAATCCATGGGGAATGACAGCAATAAGACTTTTATTGCAGTCATTAGCAACAGTGCATCAGACAGCTTAATGCAAGCAGTACCACTGCATTAGATCTCCTTACCTCACAGCCACATTTACGATGCCTTGCCTTATCTGACGGTCTCGGCGTTAACGTAGTTACCTTAACTCGCATCAATCTCTCTTAAGAATGTTGCGGAATGCTGGCCCACCCCCCACCACATCCCAAACCGACGTAAAAACCATCAAACAGACGTTCAGACACTGCTGCTGGGTTGTCGTGGTTACATGAGATCTTAAGCATGGCACCAGTCCAGCTCATCAAACACATAAACCATTAACCAGTCTGTCAAGAGGGCCCTTCGTCTCTGAACAATGTGACAAGTGTAATTTGGGGGATTTTCAGTCAAGCATCATGCCAAGGCAAACATCGACACTAATAAAATCATTAGAATGGGGAGTGGGCACTCTTATAGAGCAGCTCAACATGTTGAATTTCCTTTGTTGTGGCAAGACAAAGAAAAAAACGTATGAAACAGGGACAGCACGTAGGAGTGGTGAATTAAAGTGAGATAAGACCATCATTGTATGGACGAAAAGAAAGAGTGAGAACAAAACAATGTTCACGTTTAAGAAAACTGGAAATTATGTAACCGTTCCCATGGACCTGTTAAACTATTTACCTGTCCAAGCTCAAATCAGCGGTAAACTGACTTGGACCCATATTCAACCAGCCGTAGCTTGTAATTTCCTTGTCAAAGAGAAAATTGACGCTGTCTTCGCACAGTCGAAAACTGCGCAAAGGTTAAATGATGGTTTCATTACAGAGCTTTGACTGAAAGGGCCTCGGCCAAGTATTCAAAACACCCAGTTAAGACGAATGAGGGCTGTGTCCAGAGTTTCACACACGTACAGTGCGTGAGTGCCTTTGAATTGACATCATGCAGAGCGAATGGGAGCGCAACTCTGATAAAGAGCATCAAACAGCAGCGACATGATACACATCTCGACCTGCCTTTTCTTCTACAGCACACACCTGAGCATATCTGGAATTCAGTGTGTCCCGACGCAAAGTGTGATTTTTGCAAGACTCAGTGGTAGAGAGAGAGGGAGCAAGTGAAGGAAAAGCTGAGTATTTGTTTACATTTTCAAGTTTGTTGACTTGCATTTTTCTTACCGTTGAACCCTTTGGCAAAGCTGTCTCATCAACAAGCAAGTACACAATGTTCAGGGCAACCAGGAGAACAGAAATCGCCTGCAAGCAGCACAGATTAAAGCAAACATAAGCATTATAAACAGTAGAAAGAAACATCAAACCAACTTATGAAATAAACTGCATCAAGTCACATGCTTTGTGGTTCATTATGATAACCCTGCAAAGTCTAAATAAACGTGTACCGTTCCAGCAAGCAGGATCAGCATCACTATGGGGTAAAGGAGGTTCTTTTCCCAGGCTGAGGCCTTCTTTCTCCTTTCTAGGACAGAGGGTGAGAGAAGCGATTCTAGTGCACATATTTCTGACTGACAGTACATATGTTTACAGTGAACTACCTTTGAGCAAATTACACCCAATCCCTTTAATTAGTCCATTCCTCTCAGTGTCTGATTTCACACCAAGAAAAAGAGTAACTAGTAAGATGAAAAATCTATTTAATACAGGAGAATTTTCAAAAAGATTATCTTTCATCTAGCAAAGCTATAAAATAACAACAAAATTTACATCACTGTAACATTTTACAAGTTTCATGAACAAGCAATGAACGAGTTTAAATGTATTATTACAAAATAAAATTAGCTTCAAATATTCAAATGTAGTAGTCTATGTATAAATGAACATTTACCTAAATTAATAAATGCTGTAAAAGTATTTTGTCAGTGTATGAAGTGCATTAACTAATGTTAACAAATTAAACTTATTGTGAAGTCTCACACATATACTTGTGTTTAAAAGTTTAGGGTCAGTCAAATTTGGATAGAAACTGATAGTTTTAGTTTGAAGTGAAGCATTATATTGATCAAGAGTGATGTGGAAAAAAGTGAGATTTGTGAAAAAAAATAAAAAGCTTCCATGCAGTTTCCACAAAAAAATTAAGCAGTACAACTGTTTTTAACATTGATAATAATAAGAAATGTTTATTGAGCAGCAAATATTAGAAGCATATTTCTGAAGGATCATGTGACACTGAAGACTGGAGTAATGGTTGCTGAAAATTCAGCTTTGTCATCACAGGAATAAATGACATTTTAAAATATATTAAAGGGGTCATATGATGCCATTTTAAAGATCATTATTTTGTGTATTTGGTGTAACAGAATATGTTGACATGCTTTAATGTTCAAAAAACA